ACGCGGAACGCGGCTATCGCGTCAGCACGATGTCACGCCGATTCAGATTTCATCGTAACGACGTTGCTACGCTAGCGTGAAAATCGGCATGCGTCAACCGTCCCATCTATTTTCGTCTTATTATCGGTTAACTCTCCACGCTACTTGGTTATTTAATTATTAACGGGGTTATCGATGGTCGGGATAAAGAAGGGGGATGATAGGTTTAGGAGAGGAATAATGATTATTTTGTATTTGTAATTGTTACGTCGTTCAATCCTTCGGATTTTATTGAACTACTAATCCTCTCATGATTAATAAAAGCATATTAATTTTTGTAATTTTTCTTATCTCGTGTGAGAGGCAAAAAGTGTTCGTGCTTCTAGATTCTATTTTTCTAAATTTGAATGTTGTATCTTTAAAGGTAATAAAGTTATGATATTTTGATATTAGAAATTTTATTAATTAATTTAATTTAATTTAATATTAATTTTATTAATTTTTATAATTTAATTTTAACTTATTTTTCTAATACAATTGCAAGATGTAGATTTTATTTTTCATATGAGATAAGAAAAATTAGCATGGTTTCGTTAATTGTGGGAGGATTAGCTCAGTATATTCGTGGAATATGTAATTATATTAAAATAGATAGATGCTAAAAGTCATTAAAATAACAGCAAAAGATTAGAAATCAGTGGGTTTGAATATAATATCGGTTCAGATTTCAGAAACATTTTTAAAGAACTGAAATAACCATTGGACAGTTATGAGAAAAGATTTTGATTTATATCGGTTTTGGTTCTACAGAACCGATGTTATATTGGTTTTATAACGGTTTTGTAACGGTTATGTATCGGTTACAATATATATATACCTCCTACTACAGGATACAAGTAAGCAGAGGGTGATTCTACAAGCAAGAATAAATTGTAAAAATAAAATAAAATTCGTTTTTGAGCAAATCAAACTTAAAATAATTTTCCAAATATACCAATTCTTTGGAAATTAATTAATTCCTTTCAACTTGATTAAAAATGTTTTATGAAAAGCAACTTGTAATTACCAATTTTCTCTGTCAGATTATTGTAATGCTAAAAAATATTTAACTGTTCGATTTCGATGATGATAATAAGAAAGCTAAGAAATTTATCTTTATTTATTTAACTAAACTATTAAAAAATGACATTATTCACTAGAAAGATACGACATAACTATTTCAATAAACAGCATATCGCGTACCACTTCTCTCAAACATGCGGATAATCCTAAAAACCGCCTTTCCGTTCACGCGTGCAAAGATTGATAACGACAAGTATTAAATAACCGTATAAAGTTCACGTTATCAGATATCTCTTCACGATAACGCCATTAGCCTCGTGTTCGTACACGTAACCGTGAATTTTAATACATTCGTTAACGCGTCGAGACCTGTGAACCCGTGAGTGAACTGGATCTAAAACATCGATTCATAAGACACGTATACGCATTAATTTCACGCATTTGATCATTTCCTCTCGTATTTATTATAGAAGAAAAAATAAAAAAAAAATAAAAAAGAAAAGAAAAAAAGAATGAACTCGTATTGCAACGTATCGAGCCGGTTTTACCAACGGTACACGCTGTGCTACAAGGTGCAACTGACTTCCTGTTTTGAATGAACCGAATTTTCTTTCTCTCTCTTTTTTTTTTAATCTCAAGCTGAGCAATGT